GACAGCCACGAATCTGTCGGTCCAGTGAACAGGACCAGCGGATCTTGTGCGACGAATCGGAAGTCATCAGTAGGTGGTGGAGACCCCTTTGTCTGCGAAAAGGCAGTTTGAGTAAGACCGGTTCGTCATTTTCGAGGTCGGCCAATTTTTGACCCCGTCAATGCTGACAGTGTCAATATTGTGGTTGTGATTAATGACAACATCCCTGTCAAATCGCCGAAGGATTTTCTGCAGCCCGTCATAAGGGGGTTGGAGGGGATGGCGCACAGCGTTATGTCGGGCCAGAACTAATGCTTTATTGCAACACTGATTTAACTGTTGTGCTTTAGGTGCGCCAGCTGTGGCACCTTGTGTGACCGACTTGGAAATGGACGATTGCGGTAATTTTTGAATGACTCATTTCAAGCATTCGGTTTTCTATTGTAGACTTTACTGCTATTAGCGCAAAAAATATTTACCCAAGCAAAGAAGGGTACCATGTACCTACCACTTCATTTGACCCAACATCGCTACTCACTCATTGTACGTGGTATACACCTACATACATAGGTTGGCGGGTTACGCGAATGAATGTGTGCCTTGTAATTGAAAAGCTTGATACGCATCAAGTCTACACTTAAGTGAATCCACACAAGTGAAGAGTACATCAGTCGGCAGGGCGTTCCACGATGCAAATGACGTAAATAGTAATGTTCTCACGAACTAACGAGTTAGATCTCACGAGCCCCTGGCCTTAAAGGCAGCAAGTAAAACGGAGCACTGAATAATATAGAGATTTTGAACGTTAAGAAAACTGACAACAGACCACGACAGAGGAGCACGCTAGGAAGGCGGGTTGTACAGGTATGTCGTTTTTCGTCACATTGAAACAAGCAATGCGGCAAAGAAAACGGGACTAAATTGTCAAAGGTAAATTAGTCAGGTACCTCACCACAGTGCCCCCCCCCCTTCTAGACCGGAGGGCGACGGAATACGACGTCGGAGGATATGCATAAGTCTAGAAAAAATGCGTAACTAATCGATCGGGGAAATGAACGTGACGGCCACTGCTAATGATGTAATCAGGAGGTACAGTCGAAGAGGACTGACTGCGTGCTATGCTGGAGGATGATGTTGCAGTTGGATGCTGCCGACATATAGGGAGAGGAAGTATGCGGGACGCAAGGGTAGAGAGCAAGGGAGGGGAAGGGTGAGGCAGTGGGCAGGGTGAATGAGCAGGGGATAGGGAAGAGGGAGGAACAGGGGTTAGGGGATCAGCACATTTTTGTCCATGTGGCATGTCCGGCGGCTCCTTTGCAACAGCAGTCCTGACCCGAACGGCACTGACCACGTCCTCTTTGTCACCGCGAATAATCCCGCAGGTCTTGGCGTTACGCGCGAGCACGCGGAACGGTCCTTCGTATGCTGATTCCAGCGGCTGGCGCACACGGTCACACCGGACAAACACATGAATACAGTCGTCCAAGTCTTTTTCGACATGAGACTCAGTCGTTGGAGTTCGAGGTGGAACCGCGGAAAGCGAGCGCATAACGCCAAGCACTTTCGTCCACTGATATTTGCTTTACCTGCCTGTAGATTTAGGAAATGATCGCTCAGAGTGGGCGTGCTAGCTTGAGTGAAAAAATCAGTAGGAACTAAGCGACAGTCTAGGCCGCTCATAATGCTGAATGCTAGCATAAGATCAGCGCTTAGTTGCCTGTAGGATAGAGGAAACAGGTTGAGAGTTGACAGTCTGGTTTCATAGGACAGTGCTCCCAGACCTGTCGTCGTTTTTGTCGCCCGTCTCTGGATGTTCACTAAGACGGTATAATCTATGACAGTCTAAGGTTTCCATGCCTATGTGGCGTATTCTAGATGAGGCCGTACGAAGGTGCCAAATATTTTGGAAAAGCTGTTCTTGTCAAATCCCATAAAGGCTCTCCTAGTGAGATACCTAGTTGTCATGACCAAATTTGCCGCCTTCGCGCACTTCAATGTTGTTTTGATTGAAGATGTAATTCACATATCCAAATCTTCCTGACTGCCAAATTCTTGCGGTGGTATGCCGTGAAGCAAGTCAGTTCTGAGGCTGGAGGCTCTGCAGCTACCGAGCTGAGGAAAATTGCACTTACAGTGAAGGACATAAGCCAGCGCTTCGACCAGTCCGCTAGCCTGCTCAAGTTCCTTAGCAGGTGGTCTCCGGCTGCCGCATTGCCAATAACCCTCCACAGTTTTATGTCGTCAGCAAACAGGATGGCATCACAGTCTAGGTTCCCGCTGTGTATGCAAGGCGAATGAAGGGCTGCCCAGTGATTTGTGTGGTTTTTCTCAGGTGGCGGCACACTCGACGTGACCCGGCCATGTTTTCAAATTTCAAGAGACCGAAATCCTCGTAAGGGGTGACAACCGCGTGAGCCGCGAGCTGCTCGAGTCATGGTTCTCAGGCTCGCAATCCATCAACACGCACAATGACCTCCCAGTACCATATTCCGTACTGATATTTTCTATGGGCAGGGGAATCAGTCACATGGGGAGGGCGCGGGCGAGCAATTATCACAGTGACAGTGAGCCAACCTGCCGAGCAATCGTCACACCAACATCCAGCACGTATGACGAAATCACGGCCATTAACGACTCGGGCTCGAACTGACAAGCCACCACCGCATTAATTACGACTCCAGCGGTGATTGCAAGAGCTATTACTTACAGTGCGCATATGGTCTCACGGCAGCCACGTGTTATATATAATACACCTTCACCTTTATCTACGACTGTTTCTCGTGATGGATTCGAGTGAGAATCCGAAACCTCAGGTCAGTTAATTTCTTGTTTCAATGATCGCATCTTCGTCTTCTGTTCTTCTCTCTCTAACCCATTTTCCTTGCTGGTTCAAATTCAGGTCAGGTGTTTGCTATGGGCCACGAGATATGGTGGTACACCTAGGTACTGGCCCGGCCAGGCCAGCCACCTGCGCCCCTTCCCGATTTCGGTCTTCTTGATAGTGATAGGAGAGAGGAGAGGAGGAGAGAGTGCGGCTGACGCTGTGCAAGTCTACCTGCATTAAAGCACTAAACAACGTACATGCGGTCGTGCTTGTTCTAGCACTGCCGTGGAGCACATGGCGGGCATCTTCACCGCTGCTTACTATTATCGCGGCAGCCACGCGCACTTCCGTAGTCGGCAATCAGTTACTAGGGCTTCATGCCCTTCTTTTGTGCGGGATCGGTTATGGCCTTCCTTACCTGAGGTAAACATTTGTGCCGGAACGGCGTAGTTGGCATTGCTTTTGGCTATACTTCACTCATTACGACATTTAGCCTGTGTCATTGGTAATTATTTTTCCGCCCTTACCTCGGTTAGGATAAATGTACTTAGTTGAATGCTAGTTGCATATTTGGGAAGTCAGTTCGCAGTTTGTAGCCCGAAATGGGGAGGCCAACGACGAGTTCCTTATCTTATGGCACGGGTGGGAAAAAAGGTTATACTGTGGGGGTGAATGCAAGGGCTGGTAGAGCGATGGCAGAGATTGAGGCAGTAGATGGGGTTTCCGAAGAAAACGGTTGAGAAGTTTTCATGAGGTGAACTAATGACAAAAATTTAAAAAATCCCGGGGTACACAGCACAACCTGTGTAAAGCCACAGCGATGGAAGGGGATTGGTGTTGCTGACGGTCGTACCGTGTGAACCAATGAGAGGAAGGCGGTGGACAACAAGGTCAATCCGCAAAGGGTAACCGGAAAACCGCAGGCGAAACGATGAATATCAATGACATGGCAATCGGAAGTAGAGTAACCGACAACGAAGCCCAAATGCGATATGTACGCGGACGACGGAGAGGTTCGCGCAAAAAAACCGCAGAGGAGACGTATGACGGGGGACTTACACATTGGCGTAATATAAAGAGGATGAGGTAGCTGGTGACTGTTTAACTCCCGGGTAAAATAGAGTAAAACTGGGCACCCGTTGTATTTTACGAATTAATGGTCATACTTTTGTCCTCTTATAGACCGCAGACTGTAAGAAAGCCACGGAAGGCAGCTCCTCAAGTCAGTAAACCAACGAAGTTTGGCGAAATCCAAGATGTGATCCAGTCGTCCCATCTCGTACAGTAATTACAAGCGAAAGGACTACTGGCTTCTCAGGTAACGTGTCGATGCCGTGTGCCAATGCAATTTCGAATGCTGCGGCAACATACCGACGGATTTGCCTTCGGGTATGCCTAAGTAATAGTATCATATACTCTGCTAATATAACAAATGCGGTACCGAAGAGCATTGAGGACCGACTCGGTGTTTGAGGGCAGCCACCTAACATTACCGAAGGCCGTGAAAACAGCTCTTGCTTTTCGGGAGGATACAGGGGTAACTAGATGTGCAGCATCGGTGGGCATCAGTCCAAATACGGCAGTGGAGTGGCATGGCATCTGGAGCGATGTCTGCGCGAAAGTCCTCCTCAAGGAGTTGAGACAGCTAGGAAGAGAAAGCGCGGAAGTCCAAGTGGACGAGACAATGATAACGAGACGCAAGTACAACGTCGAACGCCTGTAAAAGCAAAAATGGATTTTGGGTAAGAAATTCCGCTTAGTTAGTCATTCCTAGGCAGGTATGATAAGAACATAAGAACAGCTGTGTTCGAGCAAGCGAACGACCAGAGCTGGCCTTCGGGGAAAGCCGTAATTAAGAAGTTGGTAACACTAGGTAGTGTCATATTGACGGACCAGTGGAAGGCGTATGTCCGGCTGACGGAGGAAGGCTTGACGTGAATGGTAATGTTCTCACGAACTGATGAGTTATATCCCATGAGCCCTTAGCCTTAAAGGCAGCAAGTAAAAACCACTCAGCGAATAATATAAAAATTCTGAACGTAAAGTAACCTGACAACAGAGCGCGACAGCTAAGTAGGCCAGCAAAGCGGTTGTACAGGTGACGTAATAAGGCGGCGGAGGATATGCATAAGTCCAGAAAAAGTGCGCAACTAAACGATCGGGGAAATGAACGTGACGGCCACTGAGAGCGATGTGTTTAGGAGGTACGGTCGAAGAGGGTTGACTGCGTGCTATGGTGAAGGATGACGTTGCAGTTGGATGCTGTAGACATGCAGGGAGAGGATGTATGCGGAAAGGAGGGGTGGAGGGCAAGGGAGGTGAAGGGGGAGTGAGCAGGGGATTGTGAAAATGGAGGAACAGGAGTTAGGGGGTCAGCACATTTTTGTCCTTGTGACAGATCCGGCGGCTCGTCCGCAACAGCAGCCTTGACGTGATTGACAATGACCACATCCTCCTTGTCACCGCGAATTATCAGGCAGGCCTTGGCGTTGCGTGCGAGCACGCGGAGCGGTCCTTCGTATGGTGATTCCAGCAGCAGGCGCACATGGTCACACCGGACAAATGCGTGAGTGCAGTTGTGCACGACTTTCTCGACATAAGAATCAGTCGTTGGAGTTCGAGGTGGAGCCGGGGAAAGCGAGAACATAAATAGCCGCAGACGGTGCACAAAATTGTCAGGAGTCTCGTTGGCCCCACGGGAGTTTGGGGGTGACCATCTCGCCTGGCAGTCGGAGGGTAGTGCTGAAAACCAATTCAGCTGCGCCGCAGTCCAGATCCGACTTCAGAGCTGCGGGAATGCCGAGGAGTGCAAGACGAAGATTGTCTGACCAGTTTCCTGGGTCTTCTATGGCACGCAGGGCAGTGTTTGGCTGGCGATGGAAACGCTCAACCATACCGTAGGCAGCTGGGTGGGAGGCCGTCGTCCGAATGGGTGTGCAGCCAAGAAAATTGATTAACGTTTGGAAGAGTGCATATTCAAACCGGACACCACGACCAGACGTAACCGTGGATGGGGTACTGAACATGGCTACCCAACGATTGGCGAAGGCCTTCGCGATGGTTTCAGCCTTCGCATTTGGCAAAGGAATGGCTTCAGCTCAGTTGGTGTACTAATAGACGCAGGTAAGGAAGTGGGTGAAACCATTGGATGGAGGCAATGGGCCTACGACATCCACGTGCACATGGCTGAACCATGCGTCGGGGCTGGGGAAAGTGCCTGGTGGGGGCTTCTTGTGACGCTGCACCTTGTTGCGCTGGCAGCTCAGACACGACCGGGCCCAAGCTTTGACGTCCTTGTTCATGCCAGGCCAGACAAAACTTTCCGCGAAGAGATTTTGAGAGGCTCGGATCCCAGGGTGGGAGAGTCCATGCAAAGTTCGAAATACAGCTCGACGCATCGAGGCGGGCGCAAAAGGGCGATGAAAGGGAGTTGAGACGTCACAAAGTATGGTACCAGAGCCGGTTGTCAGAGGAACGTCTTTGAGTTGGAGGCCACTAACAGACTCGTCACCAGAACAACCGACTCGCTGTTGATCAGCCGCCATGGCGCAAAGGTCGATCCCGTGTGAGAGTTGGAGAGAAGCCAGTGAGGGTCTGGACCGCATATCAGCCACCTCATTCTTCGTGCCATCAATGTGGCGGATGTCGGTAGTGAATTAGGAGATGTAGTCCAGGTGGGCGATTTCCCTCGGATTGTACTTGTCGGAATGGGACCGAAGTGCAAAAGCCAACAGTTTGTGATCCGTGAAAACAGTGAAGTCCCGACCTTCAAGGAAATGCCGGAAATGTTTCACAGCCACGTAAATGGCAAGTTGATCACGGAGAAAAATGCAAGTGGTCGAATCGAACCAGCAAGGTGTCGTTGAACGACTGCACCTACGGCTATCGTCAAAGCATTTACCATCTGGGACAGCTGAGCTTCGGGAGCTGGATTCGTGAGTGAAGTGAGGTCGGCAAGGGAATTCTTGATTCCCTCAAAGGCAGTCAGTGCCTCACCAATCAGCTCGAGGGGGCCTTTGGGACCAGAAAGTATGTTGGTGAGCGGCAGCATGAGGTCAGTACAGTTCAATAGGGACTGGCGGTAAAAATTGACCATGTTGGGGAGTCGCTGCGACTGACGCTTGGAAAGTGGTGGAGGGACATCACGAATTGCTGCAACCTTTGAAGGGAGGGGACGCAAACCTTCAGAGTCGACCTGATTGCTGAGGAACTCGAGCGAAGGCACACGCAAAACGCACTTGGAGGGGTTGATGAAAACGCCAAACTTGTCAAGGCGGTCAAACACCAAGGCAAGATGCTCTTTGTGTTCTTTCTCATTCCGGTTGGCCACTAAGAGGTCATAAATGTAGGCGTACACAAACGGTAGGCCACGGAAGACATGGTCGATGAAGGTTTGGAACGTTTGGGCGGCATTACGAAGACCAAACGGCATGCGGATGAATTCGAAAATACGGAAGATATGTTGACGGCGGTTTTAGGGATGTCCTCAGGGGCGACCGGAATCTAATGAAAAGCACGCGCCAGATCAATCTTCGAAAAAACTGCTTTGTTGAAAAGGGTTCCAGCCAAGTCCTGGAGATGAGCCACTGGGTACCGATCAGGAATGTTGGCGCTGTTGAGGATACGATAGCCGCCACAGGGTCTCCAATCACCTGATGCCGCCTTGGGCGCCATGTGCAGTGGGGATACCCAAGGGTTCACGGACGGTGGAAGTATTCCCAGTTGCAACATGTGTTCAAACTCCGCCTTCGCGGCATGGAAACGTTCCGGTGCTGGTCGTCTCGGCCGAGCAAACACGCGAGGACCTGAGGTGCGGATATGGTGCACAACATCATGTTGGACCTAACGAATCCGAAACTGGGGGTTGGTTATGTTGGGGCCCTAAGACAAACTCTAACCGCAAAACATAATACTGACCACAGTTCTAAATACTAACCCTAACCTAAACAGTAAAACCTGACACTATAACCTAACACTAGAATTAACAATAAAACCCTAATCCTAACACCCTAGTCCGAAAACCTAACTCCAACTATAACCCTAACCCTAAAAGCTAACCCTAACCTTAACCCTAAAACCCTAACCTTAACCATAAAGCTCTAACGCTAGCTCTAAAACCCTAACTGTAACCCTAAAACCTAACCCGAACCCTAAAACTTAACCCCAAACCTAAACCTAACGCTCACTAAACCCAAAAAACCCGACCGAAACGGGTGACCTACAGGACTTGATGGAAACACACCTACTGAAAACAAGTCCCTCGACAATAGGAACCCCCCTACGGATTACAAGTAAGTGCGTCGGCAGTATCGACTCATAATATCTGGCTACGAACTGCGACCTTACCATTGAGGACAAAGTTCATTTGGCCTTCCTTTAAGTGAGGACGATATGCCTTTCCGTTCGTCCGTTATGATAACACATCCTCTCGCCATCCACTTCTTAGTGGCGGGCTTCAATGTCGACCATATCCTAGCGTTAACCTGCTCAAAGAGTGCTCGCTCTTGCGGTGTATCATACATGCCCAATATTCGAATCTGCATTTGCTGGCCAAAATCAAACTTCCTTCTACAGTCTCCAACTGGGTGTCTCGGACCTAAAACTTTCTTCTTCCTCCAGCAGTGCTCTGGAGCACACGTTATGGCACACACCGTGAAATTCTCCTGCTTTCGGATAGCTTACTTCTAATGAATCCACCTTTCACGTAAACACGCCAGCATCCTGTAGATCCACCTTTTTACCTAAATTCAAAAAGCATGATAAACTCGTGCACTGCTGCCCAGAGTGGCGCGCCAAAACACGGACTTGGTCTCCCGACCGCTGGTTTACCAGCCGGCGGCTCAGAGCGATTGACCACCTCATTATGACGACGATCGAGCTCACAAGACCCATCGAGTGTTTAAACGAGTCGCACGCAAATAGGATTTGTAGTAGATGCCAGCCGTTAGCCTTCAAGGTAAACCATCTTGAGGAAGAAATCACACAGATAAAAACTCCCTTAAAGTGTAGTTTAGGCATAATTGACAATGCGAATTTAGCCACTGGACGAGTAGCTAGGGGTGAGGCAAGAGTATCTCACTCAAAATTAAACAACGCATTCTGTAGCAGATACGACAGAACCAGAACAAACTGTAAAATAAACAACCGGAAAACTCTAGGAAGATGGGAATCCGGTAATAAAAAACCAATGGAAGCAGACAGCCACGTCTGGGTAATAGCTCCACGGCACCCGAACCAGAGACCTCGACAACCGCCTCGGTCATAGTGGTTGGTGTCGAGAGTCCTAAAACCGTTGGCGACGCCCAGAGAAAACTTGACTTAAATGAGCCCAGCAGCAGCAGTAGTATTGACTCAATCATAGAAACTACAAACCATTATTCACAGACGTCCGTCCCAAAGGCTACTCCCAAGACTATCAAAACAGAGATTAAACAATAAAAGCGCAAAAGAATATCTGACCCGTCACCACCGACTTACATCGAAAAAGCGCAACATCTTTTAGAGGACGACACACCAGCAGAAAAGACAAACGAAATCGTCAGAGGACGTCTTAATCTTCATGGCAAACAGTCAGTCAGAATCGACACGTCCGCGGCCTTCAAAGTTGTGTTGGCCTGAAGGGTGCTTTCGGATTAAAGGCTCAGACCCCGGCATTTTTTAACGCCGACACTGTAGGGGAGGACGGGAGGTTGTGCCGCATCGAAACCAAATCTCGAATTAATGACAGCAATTTGCAGAGCATGTTATCAGACCTGAACAAGCTGAAGACCCATCTCTCATATATCTTCAGATGTAATCCCACTGACAGAAACCTAATTGTCTCAAAACGTGGATGACCGTGAGTTAACTACTCCTGGATACCAGCTGCCTAGAAGAAACAGGCCAGGACCACAGAGAGGAGGCGTCCTCACGTACGCAAAGCATGAGCTTAAAGTTTTAGACATCAGACAAATCTGATTGTACTTCCGGGGCAATCTGGCTAATTATTAACGCACCCGGTTTACCAAGGCTCAAGGACCTGACAGTCTACCGACCGCCGGGGGAATTTTAATCCAGGGGGTAGGGATGCTTTCGGAAGACCTTGGGCAAAGTTCATCAATGACTAAGAGCTACTTTTAAAGTAAATTAATTCTTTTGTTCACGTGCATTTAGGGCGGTCGAACAACAAAAACGGTGTCCTGCGTACAGAAATGACATCACAGTGAACTAATTCGCACATTAGAAGCCATAACACCGAATACCGGAGTCTCGCAAACTGCGTAACATGTTAAAGTTAAGTTAAGCCTGCCCATCCGCATTAAAAATCAAAAAGGGTTAAAGGAACTTCTAACGGTGGAGATGTTATTTATTTGTCTGCGACCCTAACGTCGCGTGCTTGCAAAACTACCAAGATAAAGTCAATGTACAGTTTTAAGGTCTGAACTTCTGTATGTAAAAAAATAAAACAGCGGGAAATGCAATAAAGAAGACAGTAGCGACGACTTTACAACCCGAACGCAATTAACGCGACGAGGTAAGAAAGTGTGCATAAGCTGGGATTGAGCCGAATCGAACGCCGAAGTCGGTAGGCATAAATCAGACGTCCGAGTTTCCTAAAATAGATTTTAAAAAACGGTCAAAGGGAAACACATATCAATTGAAAAGTAATCAGCTTTCAAGGGGATGATTATTAGTGGATCCATATATGCCTTGTTCATTAACGACGAGAAGTTTTTCAAAAATGTTGCCCTAAAAGACCAGCAACACGGGAATGGGCATTTTTGGTTCATTTATGATGGTTAGTCAGTAATATCCGAATAGAAGATGATTGTGCCCTCCTCACTCACGTTCCAGTCCGCTGATCTACCGCCATGAAGTGCTCACCGGATCAAGGAAATTTTATTGCTGACGTTGAGAAGAGCTTGGCCGGCTCTCCATTATCAAAACGTTAAGTGCAAAAATTGACCAGAATTTTGAATAGACGGCCGAATTAGTTGGCCTTAGGCTAATCGGCTTTTTTGAGAGTTTGGGTCTAACCTCCGAGTTATCGATTGTGCTCTTGTAGGCGGGTCTGCAATTTGCGCCCGGTTGTCCCAACGTAGTTGCAGTCCCTATCGTCACGACATGCTGAGGTTTTTAGAAGGTGGCAGTATGCATTTGGATTGCACCAAACGCCGACGAATATCTGTCTGGGGTCGATTTGCAATGCCTATTCTAGCGGGCTATAACAACCGTGAAACCGCCTCGGAGACTGCTTTAATAGAAGAAATACCCCTCCAGACTTCGGGTTGTTCTTCTTGTGGCCGTCGTCTGTTCACTCGGCGCATGCTTTGCTATTTTATCAAGCAAAACAAGGGCTGAATGGTTTTAATTGAATTTTTTGCACAATAGGCCCAATTTAGTAAGTTGCCGGACGTCTATTAGGTTCTGCGGTTAAAAAAAACTCCACAAATGATAGAAAAAACAAAACGCGGGGGAAAACCAGGCATACCTTTGTGGACTCCATCGATGTGTCTCTTTACGTGTCCCCTCTCCGAAAAGGCTTTGCCACAGATTTCACAGTTGTACTTTCGCAGTCCTGAAACAGAGAAGAAAAATGTCCACACGGACTTAGGAGCACGGTTTATTTTTGATTCCAAAGGAGCGTGTCATCGCCAAAAGCATTATATTCCACAAAGAAATAATCGAATAAATATTCTAATTCTCAGGGTGTTGAATGCGACGCAAAACCAGCTGCAGGCAGTCACGGGAAGCTCTTGTGAAAGGTGAATCTAATCACAACCTTGATGAACATGGCAACTAACAGTCAATTCTTATAACTAAAAGCTCATGTAAGTGGAAAGTGTGCTGCTCGGCTCCTTCGTGTGGCTAATCTGCTGCATGCATGATTCGGGTCCGCGGCTATCACGGCGTGTCCAGTGCTGTGGTTTGGAAGGCTGCTGAATGACGCCTCAACCCACTCCACGCAGTCTTCCTGGTTGTGTGTGATTGTGTGGAGTTGCGGACTGGTGGGCTGAGTTAGGCTACAACGCTTCTTCTTAAAGTTACTTTTGGCACTCTCATACATGTGAAGAGTGCGTGTACGTATAATGGTAGGGCCACTCTGTCGATTACTGGCCTTGAAGGATGATAGCCTAGGTTACATGCAAGGCTGAGTCTAATTCTTGTGGGCCTTAAGCATTGTGCGCGTCTGCTAAGCCGTGATTCAGCAAACCATGGCCCTCGCAGCCTGGTGTGCGCTAGAAGTTCTCTGATGCCCGATTTTCTGCCAGCGGATGCGTTTGCGCTCCCGTTGGGTATACAGACCGCGTGCATGGTTGCCCAGTGACTTGTGTCATCCTTCTCTTTCTGGCATGGTTTGGAAAGCTGTAAATTGACGGATAGCTAGGACCTCGCTGTGCGCCCAGTATATGCGTCTGTGTGGCGTGGCCGACTG